AGAGTTACATATGTAAGGTGTTAAAACAGTGAGTTGCACATAATATATGCTGTGTATGTTTGCTGCTGTTTTCATTAGCAGTAACTAGCTTTCTTAAGTGAGATGAGCTGTATTTTCTCTTTTAGTTTTCTAAGAAATGGGGGATTTTGAGGCTGCATATTCTCTAACCCTGTGTGTTCACTTAAGGCATCAAACTTCTGAGTGATAAAGGGGAGCTCCTGTACATATTTGCTATTCATAACATAATATTGAATATAGGTGTAGTGAGCATTTTGCTTTGTCATAATGTTTATTGAGCATTTTGCCTGTTCATACCAGGCCTTGTCTTGCTTCTAACCTCCCTATTTTTACAAATCCTGACAATTCTTCTGTTTTCATTCTTATCTCATCCTTTTGGGTTGATGCATATCACTGCTTTTGTCATATGCCTTATATCCTTTTATTAAAATACTGCTCTCTTTCATGATTATTCTTCAGCCTCAAAATGAGAGGGGCAGGGCATAGTCGTCTTCTTGTTTGGGTACCAAGAACTGTTCCTCGGCATCAGCCTGATACTCTTACAGCACTTCTACCGTTCCTGTCACCTCCTCTTCTCACTCTTCATTGTCCCTCTCTTACACTATCATTCTTTGCTTCACCCTCTATCACAATACTACTGACCCAACTTCCAATTGATATGGTGTCATATCATTTCTACACCTGGGATGAATGATCTTTACAAATAAAGAAAATCTAGGAGACTAAAGCACTCATCATTGACTGGTTGGTGACTTTATTTTAAAAAGTTAAATTCTAATTGTCATGGCTCTTCTGATTAAGAAAAGAGTCTTGAAGAAGATCACATTTTAGTTGCTGTTTGAGCAGTGGAGGAAGAAAGAGTATAGGTTGTAGAGGGTATTTGAAGCTTAGGATTTATTCTCAACTAACAGTTGAGTATTATATTTAAGGCACTGGGGACACAAAAATTTCGTTTCTGTTACCTCCCCATGATTGATGTAGTGACAAATAATGCAGATGTTGAAAGGAAAGAGAGTTGTTGAGGACTGGAGAAGTTGGAGAAGATTTTGTGTTGTCATGCTAAAAAATCTCTGTGGATGATTTCATGTATTCTTTTAAATAAAGTTTTGAAAAAATTTACATACTAGTTTTAGCGATGGGGGGGAGGAGAGACAGAGCGAGAGTTAGAGAAACATCGATTTGTCGTTCCACTTGTTTATGCATTCTCATGGCCTCATGCGTGTGCCCTGGCCTGAGAGGGAACCCACAGCCTTCGCATGTCAGGATGATGCTCTGACCAACTGAGTTGCTTGGTCAGGGCTGTATTCTTTTGAGATCATATTCTCCTGAGAATCTGATAGTTCATCATGACCAAGTTTCATGGAGTTTCTAGAGTATACAATGATCTCTTATTTCTGCACCTTCTCACATGCTGTTTCTTCTGCCTGGAATAGTGTTAACTCAGGCAATTCTTGTTAATTTTTAAAAAAGATTTTATTTCTTTATTTTTAGAGAGAGGAAGAGATGGAGAAAGAGAGAGAGAGATTGAAAAGAGAGAGAGAGAGAGATTGAAAATGTGTGGCTGCATTTTGCTTGCCCCCTGCTGGGGACCTGGTCTGCAACCCAGGCATGTGCCCTACACTGGGAATCGAACCAGCAACCCTTTGCTTCACAGGCCAGAGCTCAGTCCACTGAGCTTACACCAGCCAGGGCAATTCTAGCTAATTCTTAAAATATTATCAAAGAGGTCACTACTTTCAGAAAAGCTTACTTGATCTTTCAACACTGGGTTAAGTATATATCTACGGGTCTCATAGCTCCTGTTCTTCCCCAGCCATAGCCCTTGTTATGCCACGTTGTAACTGCTTTCACCAGACTGTTCATGGAAGACAGAAACTGTATATGATAATGTGTGGTGTATGTCTGCTGCTCAGATAATATGAGTTGGTTGAGAGGGTGAGTGGGATATGGTAGAGAGGAGACTTTCTCATTCTAGGCAAGGGGAAGAGACTGAACAAAAACAAGGTTCGTGGTAGTAACATGTAGCTGATTCTGAGGCAATGAGTAGAACCATTTGATTGGAGTGTAATATTGAAAAGAGAGGTTGGAGCTTTGAATGTCAAGTTAAGTCCAATGTTTATTTAATAAAAAAGGGCCATTGATGAGATAAAAATAAAAATACCTGGCTGGTATGGCTTGGTTGGAGCATTGTCCCGTAGACCAAAAGGTTGTGGGTTTGATTCCTGGTCAGGGCACATATGAGAAGGCAGCCAACCGATGTTTCTCTCCCACAGTGATCGATCTCTCTTTCTCTCTTTCTCTCTCTCTCTCTCTCTCTCTTTCCCCCCCGCCTCATTCTGTAGAAGCAATAAAAAAAAGTCCTTGAGGATTTAAAAAATAAATAATTATATACATTCTCACAAATTTGATTAAGTAATATACTTATGCATGGGAAATATATGTTTATTTTTGTAATTTTTGTGTTAAAATTTTTGTAATGCTCTTCAATGAACTAAACATAAAAATGCTTAATTTGTAGACTTTTGTCTTTTAAGACTATTCCAATGTGATTTCTAGGGAAACTTTTAGAAGAGTTGAATAAATGATGTTGAGTGAATTGAGCAACTCATTAAACTGTGAGGTTTGTTTTTCTTATAACCTAAACACTTGTGAACTATGATAGTTTAAAAATATAATTCAAATAAGACAGTAATCTAACATTTCTCTGGGGGTTTCCTTCTTATTTGTAGCTTAAAAAGGAATAAATGCTTACAGCTGTGGCTTTTTTTTTCTCTAGTATCTCCAGAGGCAGTTGGATTTTTGTCAGCTGTTGGGGTGTTTATTATCTTGATGCTGCTCCTTTTTCTCTATATTAATAAGAAGTTCTGTTTTGAAAATGTTGGCGGGTTTCCAGATCTCGGTTCAGGATACAGTACAAGGAAGAATTCACAAGATAAAATTTGTAAGTACCATCACTGCTTCTCTTGTTTGTTCTTTATATCTGTACTATCCTATTGTTTTATTAATATATAATAAATAGTTTGGTTTTTAACATACTGTAAAGTAACATTTGAGCCAGTATTCTGTGAGAGTAAAAGACTGGTAAGTATACTAGGTTTAGTTGTCTTTCTATTGCCCACAAATTGCTAATATACTGCATAAAGATAGGTTGATACTGTTAAAAGTAACTTTTATTTTTCATATATAAGGCTTACTCTTTAGGCTATAATATGAATAGGTACGCTTTAAGAAGAAGGCAGTATCTTATTGCTTTATATAGCTCAACTCTCTTATCTAAATAGTTCTCTAATTAGCTTTTTCCCCGTGTCCCTAGAAGGCTTTTGAAAGTATTCACCCTTTCCTTTACTTGCTGTTCAAATCTCAGCTGATGGACAGCTTCATCGTCTGGAGAAGGGTTGCTTGTTTGTTGTTTATGGACTTAGTGTGTCGTTAAAGTCTAGTCATAAGGGATCAGTGCTCCCTTTCCTACCTTGGCATCGTAGGCATCACATCACTTACTGTCCCTCGGTGCTCGGGAAGGCGAGGGGTCTAGTACTGTTCTTTCCCTTGTTGGAAAGTTTTCCTTGGAGTTATTTTAAAAAAAATTATTGAGTTCTTTGCTATTTCCAGTGGCTGGATTATATAAATGATAACAGAAGCAACTTGACCATTGTAAAGGCAAGGCATTCATTTAGAAAAATTGTGAGGAGCTATAGTGGAGAAAGTTTGCTTTTCTTGTGTATGTACATATGCTTTTTTTCTTCTGATACCTTAAAAAGGGATAGCCTCATTGTATATAAAAAATGTATTTGTTATTGAATTACATCTGTGACTTGCATTAGTAAACTGTAGGACTTTATAGTTTTGATTTATTTCTCATAATTCAGTCCTGCTTTTTGATCATTTGTTTAGAAGGAACTGGCTAAAGCTACCTCTTTGGGCAGCCTCCAGTAATTCTCTGGTTCAGCATTTCCGATATTTCTTTGGTCTAATGACCACTTTACATTCTTAAAAATTATTGAGGACCCCAGGGGGCTTTTGCTTATAAGTTGTATCTATTGATACGTAGTACATTAGAAGTTAAAGCTGAGAAGATTTAAAAATATTTTTTAACAATTTATTTATTTAAAAAACCAACAATAAACCTATTACATGTTAATATAAACAGTATTTTTAATTACAAAGTATAGTTGTTAAAACAAAAATATTGGTGAGAAGAGTGACACTGTTTTACATTTTTGGAAAATCTCTAATGACTGGCATAGAAGAGAGAAACAGCTGGGTTCTCATATCTGCTTCTGCATATAGTCTGTCGTACAGTCTCTGGAAAACTCCAGTGTTCATTTGTGAGCAAATGAAAATGAAAAAGTTCAATATTGTATCTTCTTACTAGTATTAGAGAAATAGTTTTGACCTTGAGGATCCGTTGGAAAGGTCTCAGGTACCTTCTTAATTTTTCTCAGCCTTGTTTTTCTTTTACCTATTAAATAGGAATAATAATGTTTACCTCCTATAATTATTATAAGATTAAATAAGGTAAAGTTAGACATACATTTCTCTGTAATATTTTCTTTATGTTAAATGATACTGGTAGTTTGTGAATAAGATAGGGTAGTTCCCCTATTAATAAATGAACTGGAAGCATATAATAAGAATCCTTTTTATACTTCTTCTTGCAGGTATAGAATTAAAAACCAATAGTATTTGAGGGGAAAATATTGTCTTGCTGCTGTTATGATAGCTATGGAGTGGGAAAATATGTCATTACATTTAAAGCAAGTGGTATGATTTTTGTTTGTTTCGGAAGAGTCTTTGCTTCAACGTATTTCTTCCAATGCATAATGCATTTACAGAAAGATTTTAAAAGTCACAATATGAAATACTAATATCAAGTTCATGAGTAGCAACATTTAAGTAAATGTTAAATTGAGATTCCAAAGTGGTTGATATTTTGAGAAGAGAAAATTTCATTATTGCACCTTGTAGGAACAAGGAAATAGAAAATGGCATTTTTCAGAAATTTTCAGCCGAATCTGCCTTCGGTGTCCTCTCTGGTGGACACCATCACTGATGCTGTGGAAGAGCTGACCACTGCTGTTGGGGAGGTCAGCTATGCTTTATCTGATGTGGTTGCTGAACAGGTCACAAGCATGATACATGGATTTCGCCCAGAAGAGGAAAGCTCTTCAGCAGCTGAAGTTGTAGATACTTCTAAGCAAGAGAATGCCACGTTACCAGAAGTCTCCAAAGACACCAGTTGTCAGAAAACACCATCCAATTCAGAGCACAGAACAAGTCAAAGAAGTTACACCAATACTTCAGCTTCACAGAGGCAAGGTCAAGGAGTAAGTGAAGAAAGAGCACTTAAACATGTTAATGGTAGGCAGCAGGCAGTGTCAGAGTGTCAAGGAACCAGTAACACGGGTGACTCTGTGGAAGGCCGCGTGAGTGACGGTGGGATATCACTGACGAAGCAGGATGCAAGGGCCGGAGTTGCCGGTCAAGAACTGGGACACACTGACAGATATAAAAGAACTGGATTGGGAGTTTCTGGTAATGGGAAGAGTGATTTAAAGGAGGTAAGGTATCAACAGATGCGAGAAAATCATTCAAAGAAAGCTGAGAAACATATTAAAAGTAAAGGGTCCAAAGGGAATGAGTGTTCAGGAAATGAATGCTCTGCAAAAGGTGTTTTGGCAAGTGGTAGACCTATGATACAGAAATCCATTACGAAAGAAGACATACATTCGGCACCGTCAGCTAATTCTAAAGATAAGTTACACGGAAAAATGAAAGAGCAAATAAGTTCAACAAAATGCTACAAAGGGAAAGGAGACATAAAAACAAAGAAAAATGAAGCCAATTCTGCCAAAAAAGGAACAGCAAAGAATAAAGATGAGAAATATTCTAAGATAAAACCAGAAAAAGGTGAGGTCTCCTTATGTGGGTTTGAGTGATAAAATTTCTCTTGATTTTTGAAATTAGGAAAATACAATCCAAATTTCTGAACTTTCCTATACATGCCTGTATATCTGTTTTGAACTTTCTTGAATCTTCTTACTAGGAAGACATTTTTAAAGTCATTCATTTTTTTCCTCACATCATTTCAAGAGTATTATGTTATTTGTATACCTCTTAAGTATTGCCCCTGGTCCCTGCGTTATTTGGCCTATTTTTCAGCAGCCTTAATTTCTCTTAATGTCTGTTTATTTTAAACCAGAAACTCCATGGTTTTCTTAAGTAGTATGCATCCTTTAATTGCAGTTTTTTCATGTGCATTTTAAAGTTTTATATTTTTGTAACTAACCCCTAAGTCCGTTGTACAGTGTTGCTCTTCAAATTTATCCCAGTAGGTATGTATACCAAGTGTTTTATATTTTTCCTTGAGAGCAATAGGTTTTATTTTATTGAGTAACATGCTTCAGGCTAAGAGTCTGTCCATTTAGCCATACTTTAAGAATTACATGATGGTTCTGTGTCTGCAGTGAGTACACATGAACAATGTATTATTATTTATGAGTTCTCTCTATAGCATTAAGATTCCAACTAAGCACTTATAATTTTCAACTACAATATTTGTAACAATTTTCAGAACAGTTAGTCAACAATTACTTGGTTTGTGTTGCAGAATTGCTTCCTACTGTTAGTAATTATTTCTGGCGATACCTTAATCATTTGCATTTATTGCTGATCTCATCACAAGGCCAAAAGTACACTGGCTTTTATTTATAAAATATGCCTCTGGAACTTTTCTATAAATTGAGATTCTCATAAAATAACAAAATATGAGTAATATTAGAAATGATGAAGACTTTTCAGTTCCGCTACATGACTTTATACAGAATAGGGATCTGCTGTTTATCAATTATATAAATGTATTTAAATGATATAATAGAGGCTGATCCAGGGTGAATGAGCTAACTAAAAAGGAACACCGGTTTTTGGAAATACAGCCAGCCCTCCATATCTACGAATTCTGTAACCATGGATTCAGCCAACCACAGATCAAGGAAAAAAAATGTTACATATATATATATATGTGTATATGTATGTATGTTATGTTGTCACTGACACGTACTATGTAGTTAGGCGTATGATGGTTGCATCTGTACTGAACATGCACAGACCTGTTTTCCTTCCCATTACTCCCTCAACAATATAGTATACCAAGTATTTACATAACATTTACAGTGTTATTAGGTGTTATAAGTAATCTAGAGATGATTTAAAGTATATAGGAGGATGTACAGAAGGGACTTGAGCATCCTTTGAGTTTGCAGAATTCATCTGCAAAAGGTTCTAGGACCAATCTCCTGTGGATACCAAAGATCAACTATGTCCATTTTGGAATCTACTCTTCTGGCAGCATGAATGTCAGATTCAGAGGTTTTTAGTAGCCTTGCTATTATTTGAAGTAGCAGAAATAAAGAAAGAAAAAGCAGAATAGTTTACATATTATTTTATTCAGAAAATAACAGAGTGCACACTAGTGATAAATACTTCACAAGTAGCAGTACAGAATTTTTAATTTTTTTTATTTGTTTTCATTAAGAAGCCTAAAGAACCCAAATACCTCTCAAATATTCGAGATTATCGTCAGTACTAAACTTAAACATGTTATGTTCTAAAAGTCATTTTAAAAATTATTTGATCCATACATTTTCCTTTCATGTACTCAACTGTGATATTACTAGTTCTTCTATTCTTGGTTCTGACATGGAGCTTATCAAATACAAAAAGAGGAGGAAGAGTTTCCTTCTCTATTTCTAAATGCAAGGCTGCATTAGGCAATATTTTGTAATAGGTGAAGTGTGACCGTGTAATTTCTAGTTACGGTCCACATGCTTTCCTGCTCCCTTAAGACCACCGCGATGGTATCCCCAGAAGTGCTGAAATTTCTGAATTTAGAACACAATTCCTATGTTCTTATTACTGTCCAGTAGAATTGCCTGTAATAATGGAAAAGTTTTGCATATTCATATTACTTGGCATAAGAACCACTAGCTACATGGGGCTGTTGAGCCCTTGAAATGTAGCCAGTAGCACTGGGCCACTGCATTTTAAATTTTATTATTTTTAATTGTTTAAGTAGCTGCATGTGGCTGGTGATTACAGGTTGGGCAATGCAGTATATGACATTGGCCATAGTCTTACCCTTTTATTACTATTTTACTGAATTAAAATGTGAGACTTAGACTAGTGGCACCCAAGGTCCCGTACCTCTGTCTTTAAACATTCAATTTTTATCCCATATTGTTAAATTACTCATCCTGCACCTCCCCACTTGAATTTCAAACCTTGATTTCTTTAGTGCAGATGATCTCAACTGAGTATAAAGAGAAGAGTATCTAGACTGAAGTCATAAATTCTACCTGCTGCGATCTCTTCATCCTTCTAGAGTTGATTTGTAATTCTAAGAGGTTGCACCTTGGTTTAAATACATCTCAGCATGTTGAAGTTTCAATAATTTTACCTTTTGAAAAGGTAATAACTAGTACTTTTAAAAATAAAAAAAAATTTACACCACCTAAACATTTTATGTGAAATACAGGTATATGTAAGGAAAATTTTCCTAATAATTTCACCACTTGCAGATAATGTGTTGTTTGTCATACATCTTTCCACACATTTTAGTATGTATATATAAGTACATACTGCATGTAGTGTGTATATATTGCATGTCGGGGGGGTGTGTGTATATTTTAAAATGAGACCATAAGTATGCCTTCTATCTTATAACTTTCTCTTTTCTTTTAATATAATGTTACAGTGATTCTTTCCTCGTGAATACTAGTAAATTCACCTCACTTTTAAAGACTGCATAGTATATTTTTGCATTGATACATCATAATCTATTTAGCCAAGACCCAATGATAGATGTTTAGGTTTTATTTTATTTTTGTTTTCTTTTGCTATTAAACACAGTGCAGTGAATTGTATCAAATATATATCTTCGCTCACCTGATAATTATTTTCTTAGGCTGAATTCTTAGAAATGGAATTGATAAATTCTTTGAAATGGATCAAACACTATGCAGATTTAAAAGCTTAATATGTATTACCAAACTGTTCTCTAGGAAAGTTTTACCAGTTATAATTTCACCACTAATACAGGGGTGGGCAAAAGTCAGTTTACAGTTGTAATACAAATAAATAATATAATAATAAATAAAACTTATGAATAAACTCTTTTTCATGCACTCCCGGCTGTAAACCTACTTTTGCCCACCCCTGTATAAGCGTGCCCATGTCTCATTGCTATCACTAGGAATTGTCAGTTTTAAAATTTTTGGCTAAGGTAATAATAATGAAGGTCTTTTGTAACATGAATTATTTGAATGAGGTCCATATATTTTGGCAATATTTATAACATTTTGTGTACTACTGATACTTATAAAAATTGTGTAAGATGGAAGCCCTATTTTCTTTCTGTGTAACATTGTAGGAGAATCCCTGTGACTGACATTACTTGTGTAATTAGAGTAAACAGATCAATCTTTTTCTATTAAAACAAAATGTAAATCTTGGGTTTTAAAAAGAATCTTGGGCTTTTTAAGTGAAAAGTTACACTTCCTTAAAACTGAAAATTCAGATTGTGTATTTGTATATATATGTTTATATATATTTGTATGTATATGGATATATATGACATATATGTGTTTATATGTATGTTGTATATATATAAAACTATAACAAATTCATCATCCTTTATTACATTAAAATTTTGATTTGCTCTCATTTTCGTTGCGAATAGATAATTCCTACATGGACAAAGATGAGCATGGTTCGTCCTCTGAAAGTGAAGATGAAGCATTGGGTAAATACCATGAGGCCTTATCCCGAACGCACAATTCCAGACTACCACTGGTGGATTCTAGACAAAAGAATTATACTTGGGAAACAAGACAAAAATATAGTCCTCTATCTGCAGAGTATGATGGATACAGTAGTGAAGCATCAATAGATGAAGGTAAGATAGATTGTTTCATTTTTTTAGTTGATGCAGTATAGTATTAGATGATTTATGCATAAAATGTAGGCATCTGTGATTGAACAATAAACAAGAGATAGCACATACAGTAGAGTCACATTTCTGGGAATATTATTTATTCAGATTCATATCTTTGGTCTCAAGACAAAAAACAAAACTAAAACCACAACACGGAAAAGCAAAACACTAAATAATTTAAGTTCAGTTGTAATTCTAGCTCTTTTTCCACAGTGAACATATGCCTAACAAGCATGACATGAAAGATGTGAATGTGCTGTTCTCTCCGATGAAATCGGTTCCTAACACAAGTTTTGGGAACTGATAGAGTCTAAATATCTCCCAATGTTGAATATGATCCCAGTGTGTAAATGTATGCTCTTTCATTCAGTATGGCCTCTAGACATGAGCCAGATACTTCCACGTGGCACACAGCAGAAGAAATGGCGATCTGTTTGTTCCATGTCGGAGGAAAAACTGTCAAGGTGGAGTTATTGAGGGCTGATACTGTATTATACTGTGTTTTAAGGATGATTTAAGGAATTTTCAAGGATTATCTTGTCTCTAATTGATTTTCGCCTTGTGTACAGACATTGACTTCAGACCTCAACTTGTGTGGAAAACATAAGTCTGCTCTCACATTTTGATACCTTTCTATAAGAGAAATAAAAGAGGCTTTACTAATTGATTAAAGCATATTTATCTTCACATTTAAGTAAGTTATTCATGTGCTTAATATATGATTACTCATACAGTAATTATTATCTTTATACCCTGATCTAAAGAGAAGAGCAGTATATCTTAGACAGCATTTTTATTAATATACCAAATCATCCTTAATTTTATAGCTGTGGTTTGTGTTTTAGGGCTTATTGCGGTTGATGACTTAAAGTCTTACCCCAGCACAAATTGTAGTCAAAGGAGCTACATCATCTTTTTTTGATTTGGCTTAATGTTAACTGAAGATTGATACACCCCCTTTTATTTCTACTGGTAACCAGGTATAATAAGAAATTAATCAAAAACTGAGTGATTACTATACAGAAAGATCATGAGATGCTAGGAGGGAAATAAAATAAGACATGGACTGTACTCTCAAAAGTACCTTTCTAGTACTAACAAAATAAGACATGTTTTTATTGTGCTCATAAAGATAACTAAATAATGCAAAGCTATCAAGCCAGTCCCCAGCTTATGTACAAGTACATGGATAGCAGAGCAGAAAGAGAATGGGTTTTGAAGCCTGAACCTTTTTCACAATCTGGCTGTGTGACTTAACATATTAGCTATGAAACTGTGGACAATATAGTTAGTTGTTTATAAGTTCGTTCTCTTGTCTCTAAAATGTGGATAATACCTTCATGATCGGGTTGTCATGAACATCGAATGATATATGTTGTAGTTTTCAGCGTAGTGTCAAGCAGCTAATAGGTACGCGATCAGTAAATGGCTCTTGGAGGTGAGGGCAGTGACAAGAGCAACGGTGATGAGCAAGCCCCGAGTTTGTGATTTGTGACCCTAGACGCTTCCTTTTCGTAGCTTCAATTTAGGACTTTCACCTTTTCCTGTTGATTTCTTCTTCCCCCTCACTCCCTGCCCTTCTCTGCTGACTTGTTTGCGTCTTCCCTGTGGTCCTGTTATCCTGGTGTGAGTCTGTGTCTGTGGCCAAAGCAGGGAGGAGAGAAGCCTAACCGCTGGCTCTCCTGTTCTTGCCCTAACGCTCACAGTGTCCTGCGATCACCTCTTTATTCACTTCGCCTGCACACATAGGACCCATCTGTACTCTGCTACCATTTTTACCCTAAATTATTTGATAAAACACCCAGGGTAGATTGATTTTAGGCATTCTGAAATTAGATTTTTTTATTTCATAAACATTTGTAGAAACCTTTTTATGTGCCACACCAGATACTGTGGATAAAATTGGAATAAACCGAACTTCTTTCAAAGAGCCCACATACGGGAGAAGGAAGACCATGAGTGTATGGGCAATTTAATGTGATAAACGGTCTGTTAGTTTCATGAAGAAAGCACTGTGGGAATACAGACGAGGAGGCGACTCAGACTTTGGGAGGTAGGGACGCGGTGTATCTAATGAACTCTTCACAGAATAGGCGACCTGGGCTTGAGTGAAAATGACTTTCAGCGACTGTGGAATAGTGATTGCATGAAAGCAGAAGAGAGTGTATTTCATTGTCTAATTAGGGCCTGTGTTTGGAGAATGGGCAGATAATAGGATTGAATGCCATGCTTAGGATATTGGATGTTGTCTTATAGGAAATAAAGAGTCCTGGGAGGTTTTTAAGCTGGACATTGTGGCACTTTTAGATCGCTATATTTAGACAAGATTATTTAACTGTTGTATCAGAAGATGAATTGGAAGCAGTAGCATCTGGAAGCAGGAAAGACCAGTTATGTAAACAGTGATGAGATCCTCGTTGGCAATGATTTTAGGGATACAGAGTTCATAGATTTAGGGGTGGTTTCAGTATGTCTTGGTGAATGACTGAATGTGTGTAATGAGTGAGGAATCAAGATTTTTAATTAGTTTAGAGAGAAGTAAGTTTGGGGGAGGAGATAACTTAGGTTGGGTCATGCTAAATTTAAAGTGTCCATGGAATATCCAGGTGGAGGTGGATATTGTTAATGTTAAAATTTTTTCATTGGGATGGGGGGATGGTCAAGTTATAATGTAGGTTATAGTAGACTAGAAGTTTTCTTTTTAATCATGGATTACTGCTGTTGAAAAATCAAAGGTCATTTTGAGCCCAAAATAGATTTAGTGGAGGGGAGGTAGAATAGGAAAATTTGATTGGAGAGAGAGGTTTCAGAGCTCAAGATCTTAGGGAAAAGCAATTTCACATGATAGTAAATTCTGAACATACCCAAAGATGCAGAAGTACTTACTAAATGCTAAAAGATTTTAAGGAAGGGAGTGAAATACCATCGATCAGGGAAGGTAGGAGAGAACATCAGAGAATATGGCATTTGTGTTCAGCTTTTAAGGATTGGTGAAAAGTCAGTGAATAGATTAAGTAGAGGTGTTTTAGAGGGAACTTCATAAACCCCAAAGTGAAAAGTGGTAAAGAGAAGCCTACCATGTATATATGGTCTGTCCAGAAGGTATCCAGCCATATAATATGAAAAATAGAGATATTTATTGAAGAAGATACAGAAACATTGTGCATAGGACAGCGTTGCCTCAGCCGTCTTCAAAGTAGGCAGCTTGGGACCTCACACAGTTCTCCCAATCACCATCAGCTGCCCCTTCATATTTTTCTGAATCTCACCGATGGTCTGAAATCTCTTCCCTTTCAAAGGTGATTTTAGTTTTGGGAAAAGCCAGAAGTCATAGGGCGCCAGATATGGGCTGTAGGGCGGCTGAGTCACCTGAGTGATACAATGTTTTTCCAGAAACCTCTGCACAAGATGTGTGATGCTTGAGCAGGTACAATGTTGTGAAGCTGCCATTCACCAGTTGCTCATAGCTGCGGCCTTCTGAATCACCAAATAGTTTCCGCAGAGGAATGTTCAAGCTTAATGCAAAATTAGGTGCAGATTCGTTGCTCTGCTCATTCAGTCATTTTGAATGCATTGGCCATGCAGGACACATGCTCACTGAATGGTGTCTACCGCTCCCCGCTGACTAGTACAGTGCAGTTGTCATTGACATGTGCATTCCAGCCCACTCTCTTTGGCTGCCAGGTTATATCGATGCTGGGCAAACCATTCTCCTGTTAACAATATTGGACATTTTTTCAACAGCAATATGTGAATATATATATGTATACACACGTATGTGTATGTGTGTATACATATAAAATGTATGTATGTAAGTTGGAGATAAAATGGAGAGATGAGGTCTAAAGGCTGGAGTGCCTCTCTGACTAAAGTTTGGATTTAGTTTATCCAGTGAGAACTCACTGACAGTTTTTCAACAAGGGACCATGATTAGGGATGTGCTTCTGAAAGATTAATTTAGCAACGGGGGGACTATTAAGAAAGGCACCAGTTAAGGAGGGTTTTGGAGTAGTCCGTGCAAAAAGTGGTAGAAATCTGAATTACAATAGTGGCAATAGGAATATAGGAGGTAAAATTTGCTGGATTGGGAACTGAATGTATTTGGACCACTAGAAGGAAGAACGTGTCATATATGATACTGGTTTCCAGCATGTATGGCTAGGACAGCGATTTTCAACCCTTTTCATCTCATGGCACACAAAGAATAATTACTGAAATTCTGTGGCACACCAAAAAACATGGTTTTTGCTGATCTGACAAAAATAGGTATAATTTTGATTCATTCACACCAGATGGTTTTTGTTGTGTTGGCTGTCGTAATTTTTTAATTCGACATTCTAAAGGAAAAGAGGTCCGTGCCCTTGACTAAGTAGTCAAGTGTTACGTGTTTACCAAATTCTGGTGCCACACCAGTGTGCCTTCTGTGGCGCGCTGGCTCAGAATCACTGGAGTAGGGAGGTGATGAGGTTAATAATGTAAATAGGAAATCCAGGGATCTGTTTTCTGTTGAAAGTGGGGGGGGCCTAGGAGGACATAAACGTGGTTCTATACAAATACTATACACACAAATGAATGGAGTTAGGGAGAGAAGTTTTCAGATCATATATACTTACAGAGTAGAAACCATGGGAATAGATGAAATTGATGTGGGAGAATATGGAGAGAAAAGATCAGAGAATCATTTCCTTTTATTAGCAGTAGAATTAAGGGTGTCACTAAAACAGAGAAGAGAAAGTAAAAGCAATAAAGTGGAATATCAGGAGAGTGTTGTATTTTACCACGGAAGGAGACTTGAATGCCTCAGAGATTGAAGAGGATGAGAATTCATATAAGCCCCTATCCTTGAGAAGTTGATCAGTTTCAATTTAAGTTTAAATTGGATAGAATAATAACTTACATTGAATGTTGTTAAGGAGAGAGTAACTGTTAAGAAAGTATACATTTGCTGCCTGTACTTTCTA